GGACTTCACAGCTGCAGAAGCACACGTATTCATATGATTAAAAGCAGTTTGCCATTGTTTAATGAACTTTTAGTTGTTGACGTTATAGTTAAAATTAAATCCAGCTTTTCTACATCATTACGTAATAGATTCATATTGTAGTCCTAGAGCACAAAAATGTGTTTTTCTCATGGACAACTGTAAGTTTAGTTTACAGTTTAGGGACTTCTGAAAAACAAAAATGGACTCATTTCACTGGTAAACATATTTCAAAAGTATTTATGCAAGTTTAAATGGCCATTTAAGACAATAAAGAGCTGATTGAGCTTGTAAAGAGATGGTTTGGAAAGAAAACCTATAGAAACACCAGACTTCCAGGTCAAGGGCTGCCACTGCAATCACTGCTAATGTCAGCCTTACTCCAAACTGCAAGAAGTATTCAGGCAACATTGCATTTTTAACACGTTATCACCTGTTGCATTGAATTGGAAAGACTGTGTCTTTTCACTATTCTCTTTAAAGGCTGAGTGTATAGCCCGGGTCCAGCAGAGATTTCAACCTGTGGCACTAGTTTCAAAGGCAAGTGAATTGCATAATCTTCAACAGGTTCCTCAGCCTGGGCTGTAACACACTTAAACTCTGTTTGGAACTATTTAATTAGAGATTGCCAAATCCACGAGCACTTTGAGATTTCTCTCCAGTAAATCGGTTCTGCAGTAACACTACCACTAGAATCAAGGACACAGAGGATTCTCACAGTGTGTAAGGATAGTAACAGAGCAGAGGAAATAAGGAAAGAGAGTATTTCTGTGAGAAGCAAAAGATACTGTATATGAATGCAAACACCAGTAGAACTGGCTAATGTTATGTTTTTATTTACAGTAATGTCTGATTTCCCATCAGCAGAGCCTTGGTGGATTGCCTTAGGTAACGTAGAACTTTATGCATTGAAACTTTAAGATTTGCAGAACAAACAATACAGTATATCACATCAGAGCCATTTGTGGTTCATCGTGTTAAATTCACCTTCAGATCTACTGGAATAATGTCAATGAATTACAGTACAAGCTGAATCCTAGAATGATATTCATAAACCAAATGCATGGTAATAAAAACATGCTGCTTTTCATTAGAGGACTTGTGAAATTTCTCCTTATCCATTTTAGAAATAGATTTAAGATATAAATACATTTTCAAAATACAGAATTACTGTAAAAGTCAATTATAGCAAGTGCAGTGTTTTTTTTTCTTGAGCTTAATCTTAACCATAGTACTACACACTGTGCA